GCCGCCGCCTCCGCCGCCTTCGCCATTTCCATTGTCTTCGGGGATTACTCTATCTCCACAGTCGACCTCTTCAGGATACCAACATTGTTCTCTATAAGGATCGTATAATAGATCAGCAGGGCATGACATTGCAACGGGTTTACCGTGAGCACAAATATAGAATTTGTTGCAGTTTCCGTGGGCTATCAAAATACTATCAGTATCTGGTGCTGCACAAATGGATGCTGCTTCTCCAGGGTTACAATTGCAAGTTCCCTTATCTCCACCAGCTTCATCTTCAACTTGTCCTTCATTGCCATCATTAGAACAGTCTGGTTTTACTCTGTCACCGCAACTCACATTTTCTGGCCAATCACATCTTTCCTTATTAGGATTGTATAATAGATTTGCCGAACACTTCAATGGAACAGGAACTCCTTCGGAACATTTGTAAAATTGATTGCAGTTCTCATGAGCTACTAAAATGCCATCAGAATCCTTGGTAGCACAAATGCTTGGAGCTTCGCTTGGATTGCAATTTCCACTGTTTTCGTCACCGTCCGTGTCGACATCTTGATTGCTGTCGTCTTTGTCTGGTATTACCCTGTTACCGCAAATAACATTTTGGGGCCAATCACATTCGTTTTTTTCAATGTTGAAAAGTAAATCTTCTGGGCAAGTGTGTTCTACTAACTCTCCTATTGTGCATTGATAAAATTTATTACAATATTCGTGCTCAAATAACCGTTCCACGGAGTAATCTAACGGACATCCATTCCTGTTTATGTCTACTACATATCCGTTTGTAAGTGTTATTGCGCAGATCAATATGATCCCGGCGCCTGAAAAAGACAATTAATTTCAAATTTCAAATTTTAAGTAGTTTAAGGGCCTGTCCCACCACTGGCTGATAAATACTCAGATAGCTTAAAAATATCGTCACTATAAGACAGGGGAACAAAAGCCGATACTCCCATTACATATTTTACACGTCGGACTGTTATCAGACAATTTATTTGGTGGGACTGGGCCTAAATTACATATTTAACGTTAACATTCAAAAGGTTTTATTGCTTTATTCAAACAAAGTAATTTCAAGCCAAAGCTTTCCATGTTTAAAATTCGTAAAGCATACGTCGTCTATAATTATCATTTTATAAATAGTTATAAAAATCTCCAATTGAATTTGAGAGAAATAATACAATTTAATTTTTTAATTAATTAAATAAAAATATTCGTAAATAAAACAATGCTACAGTCATAACTCGAAAACAAATATATGCCATCATTTATTTATAAGTAAACCTGAACACCAAAATATCAAATAAAAAAAAGAAAAATTAATTGCACTAAAACAATATATTTTAAGAAAAAAAAAACACGAAATTTGTACGCCTTTGTAAACTTCGTTAATAAATAAACGTCAAATAAGACAGAATAAATATCGAAAAATTTGAATATACCATTTTAAAAAAATAAATCACGAACTATAGTCGAATTTCGAAGAATGAATATTTATTCGTATTAAAAACAATCACTTATCACATTGTAGTCGTAGATCATTATTATTTTTCCACAATAATCTGTTAAATGTACCAATTACTTACCTCTCATTATACGCCTCACACTAAGTTTAGGAGATATTCCAATCCGCACAGTAACTTTGAACATTAATTACAATACTGCGTATGAATTACAAGACTACTGTTTTATAAATACACGAAATTACGTTATCAGTCAATCTGCGTGTACAATTGTATATGCATTTAATTGGCCGAAAATTTGATAACACATCAGTAATCTATGTATAAAAAAATTTATCTTCAATCTTGTCTTTCTTGTTCATACGATTATTTTTGCAACGGGTGCAATATCACAATTTTTTTTATATTCATATCTCTTTATAATGTCTACGTGTTATTTCATAACTCTATTTTTTAAATAATTTTTTTATTGGAAATGATTCACAGGTTATTCGACCTTTCTCGAAGAAAAGGATAATTGCTAAAGAAAAACACTAATTTGTATTTTAAAACACTTTAATTTTGAATACAAACAATTGTTATACATGTGAAAACAGCAAACCATCATATAAGTTTAACTTAGGGGTAAATGTTTTGGATAAAAACCCTAATGCGGGAAAGAGACCATAAGTTGTTGCCAACATCAAGGAAGCAAGGTTGCCATGGTTTGATATAATGTCATGTCATTTTGACATTTACAATTGATGTGTATTGTGCCGGAGGCCTAACCTTAGTCCCTTTTCTTTCCCACCCTTTTTCTTTTAAGAAAAGGATGGGAAGGGGACGTGGACTTGACGCTAGAGGAGACGCATTAAAGTGGAAAAATCCTCTTTATGTGCGTCTCCTGCTTCGTCGATTAAGGGTAGGCAACGCATCCGATATAGCGAATGTCAATGGGCAGCGGTCACATCGCCATTTTGGCGTATTCAGGTGGCCGCTCGCTAGCTTGCAACCTTATGGTATAAAAAGTTATAGTAAATATATTTAATAATACATTTTTATACAATATTTCATTAATACTATAAATAGGGACCTATATCGCGTTATAAGTCATTACGTTTCCCGCGGATTTCTCATCTCTTTTTTACCACTGATCTATATAAATGTATAGGAGATTGTTTGAAAATGACAGCTTTTGCTTTTGGGCTTACACGCGGTTCTAAAATTACTGGCAGCAAATCTATCTTTATTATTAATTCGAATCTACTACTGCCAAAAAGGTGGAAACAAAATGGGCACAATGTCCTTTTATGCCTGTCTATTTATTCTGGTCATCGCAACTTACACATTACTTTTTTTTACTAAATATGTGCAATTTCTTAGTTGCCAGTTCACCCTAATTAAGTAGTGTTTTAAACTCTCCTAGGTTAGTTATAACAACGTGAATACTTAACTTAAAAATATTCACATTAAAATTACCGTAATTAACAAAATTCACAATCATATTATATCAAAAATATTACGTTGAATTTCTTAGAATTTATTATAATTCCTAGATAAGATTTTTATCGGATCAACTTGAAGTATCAAAATCACGTCTTGTCGAAAACAAATATTTTATTTACCGACATATTGTTTCTTTTCAAAAACTTTGAATCCAAGATTACTTCCGTTCCTTCTGACGTTTTCTCATCAAATTCACTTCTGCCTTCCATATCTTTCTGAGCAGAAAAATATCGTAGGGGAAATACGCAAAATTGTGCCACCGTGCATTAAATGTTACGTCAAATTAACTCTAAACGGCACTTGAAGTTATCTCCAGTTCTATGATAAGCATTAACAATAAGCCTTTTCAAATAGAAAATCAAGGCAAAGTATTGATAGCAATAGTTTTAAAAACAAAGTATTTTACGAGTGTTTATCTTTGCCCATATGCCTTTTATCTTTGACGTTAAACGTTCCAAGATAAGTGTCACCGGGCCTGCAGATTATAAAAAAAATATCGATAACTTTGAAAATGATGGTTCCATATCTTGGTACATAGTTGTAAATTAAAAAAGGTATTTTATAGAGATCATGTCCTCCGTGACGTATCTGTCAATCGCGAACCTAATATCCGTGAGTGTGACCAAAGATGGCTGGCAACGGCGACTTTAACAAAAGCGGCGCACACTACTATCGTAACAATTGTGCGATTTTCTATTGTTTCGTTAATTCAACTGTTTTGTACAACAAAAAATCAAGTAGTGTGGCCATCTCCATATAATCTCATAGAAATCAAAAAGTGTGCGCGCTCTAAAAATTATACAAAGATTCAAAAACTCAGCAACATGCTTATATTTATGTTGATATTCTCTACCATTTTACACCTAGCACAATTTTTTTCTAGTAATTATTTTACATAAATAAAGGTTACTTCAATCATCATCACCAGCTCACTAGACGTCCCCCCTGAGGGGCTGGGAGCCTACCCTGAGTTAGGGTGACTAGGCCATAGTCAACCACGCTAGCCTAGTGCAGGTTGGTTGACTTCACACATATCTTTGAATTTCTTCGCCGGTATGTGTAGGTTGCATCACGATGTTTTCCTTCTCCGTAAGCACGTCGCGTATATTATGTACATATGAAAAATCGAAAAATCGAAAATCACATTGGTACGGCGGGATTCGAACCCAAGGTCTGTAGATTACTCAAGTGCTTAAACCACTGAGCCACCGACGCTCCCTATACTTCAATGCATTTTGTTAAAACATAGTTGACTATGCCCTGGTCACACTCAGGGCGAGGATGATTTTATTTTCAAAGGCAGCCGAGTTTAAAGTTAAAATGAAGGATATTCGTAACTTCTTTAATGCAGATTAATTGCTAAGAATATTGTCTCATGAATATTTCACAAGAACAATGAACAATCGTATCGTTTTATTTGAAAAATAGATAGCAAATTGATTTCGAAGTATTGATAAAGTTTTCATTTATAGCCAGCGTAATAAATCTTTATTTAGCCTGGAATTAGGGAAATTACCTATTGTTTTATTATATTTATTGCACTTAGGATTTTATCTTCAAATTTCAATTAAAATATTTACTAGTTCTTTAGAGTTATAGATGTTTATGGGCATAGATGAATACCTTTTTGTTCGAGTCTCTCGTTTGCCCACTTTTCTAAAAAAAATACGATAAAACTAGCTTTCACCCGCGACTCCGTCAGCGTGGATTTAAAAAAAAGTAGCCTATGTGACTTTCAGACCATACGCTACATCTATGCCGAATTTCATCGAAATCCGTTCAGCCGTTTAGATTACAAACTCTAACAAACATCCATCCATCCATCTAAACTTTCGCATTTATACTCGTAATAGTAGTATGAGTAAGTATGATTAGTATGAT